CTCAGATAATGGCAGCAATGTTTCCCCGGAATGAAGTCTAACAAAGCAAAGGCAGCGAACTGCGCAGCATTTAATGACGGGGACACTGGCCATACGGTGGACCCAATGACTGTGTTTGAAGGCTAACTTCGGGCGACGAATGGACGCCTAGTGCGCTTGGCGCAGGCTGCTGCAATGTAGAAAATAAAGCCAGAACACTCTTAGCAGCTGGGTCATGAGGTCAGTCTGGCATTTATGTGTTAAAGATCAAAAATAGAGGTGACCCGCATGCCCTCATCTAGCCTCTCAATCCTCCTCCCACCCTGTATGCGCGACTGCGGTCCCGCGCGTTGCAGTTTTAATCGCGCTCACCAGATTGTCACTGTAATATGAATTGGCATGCGTACATACCTGCCCCCTTCCCACTTACGATGTGCATTCACATATCAGACCAGCAGTGTTTACTCTATTTACCTATCAAGTTTCATCCCTCTTGGCAGATGTTTAAATGGACAGAAAATGAAAAAGATCGTACGGATAAGGTTGAAGAGTTGAAGGCTGACAGGAGAGTCTTTTGGAAAAATCCTTGGATTTCACAAGTTAGAAGATCTACTGTATAGACATCTCAAAGTGTGCAATTTGAACAAAATGTACAGGAGTGTAAAAAATGTGCAGGAAAGGAGCCTCTAGTTACTCATTTTATCAGTGTGAAGCATTTAAAATTGACTTTCCCGAGTGCATTCTTACTACTAGGCTTACTTGTTAGTGATTTAAACGCCAGTGCATTGTCGTGGAAGAATTGATTGAGGCCAGGTTTCTAAGCAGTCAACCTATGTGTAGTTTGTCGTTTAGAAACGTCCGGTAAAGCTTTCATTAGGTTCGGCTTACTCTGTTAATCAACGAAGAAGGGAAGAGGTAATCTTAAATTTTTCTTGGATAATCCCTCGTAAATGGCTTAGCATACTAAGGGATTGTTACTAGCATTATGGAGGACTTTTGGTATATGATTACTACATTGTTAACAAGAACTCAAAGAAAAGGAACTATCTCTATTGTCGCCCTACATTTTGCAGGCTAGTTTATTGAAAGCTCTGGTTTTAACTTCCTTCTGCATCGTTGTTTTTACCTTCTGGCCTGACTGTGCCACTCCATACTTCTAGCTTATAACTGGCGTAGGCTGACACGAGAGCAATTGACAGCATAATTTCGTTTGCACTAATGTGCGCATTCCTCAAGCGCGAGCAGATGAGTCAACAGCTGCGTCAGCGACTAAGGCCCATGATCTAGCGTCAAAACAACCACTTACCTAGTCGTATTTATCACCGCGGTTGCGCAAACGCCTTTATCCCCCACAGCTCTTCTACTCAAATTGCAACGCAGATATTTCTCCCGGCTTGCGATTGAGACAAACAGTAGTTGGCAGCTGGAGGGGACACTAACCCCAAAGACAGGCCGCCGCAAGCTCACGTAGAGTACCTGCGCTAACGCATTCAATCTAAGAATTTTTACAAGAAAATCCCTTTTTATCAAAAGCAGCTCACATTGCGCCCCCCAAAAGTTTAACAGTGGGAAAACAACGATAGTTCTTGAAAAGGAAGCATAATGAAGTCTATCCAGTAATGTTAGGTTGTTTAGAAATAACAGCCTCTTCAGAAATGCGCGACTTCCGAGAGAGTGAAGAATCAGGCTTATCAAGTAAACCTCAATTTTAAATGTAAAGGAAGCCTGGTCAAGCCAAAAATCAAATGAATAAAGCAACCCAAGTACAATTACTTTTGAAAATAATCCTTTTATGAAATCTTCGGATAGGTAGGCTTCCGTATTACGCGCAATTTAAAGTAAGGCTGTTTCTAAACAGCCTGAATTTCGAGTGTGTATTCTTACATGGTTTCACAGGAATTGTGAGTTGTTTGTTCTGTTTACACATTGTCTAGGGTATACTGAACTAAAGCAACCACACTTTCGCTTGATTGTGCTAACTGGCCTTTTACAAGAGTAAGAAATTGCGGTAGCTCACATGTGGACATGCACACCGGGGACTAATGAATTTCACTACAAATGTCAGCAGCAAGATAAATTTCCTTCCTTCACATACTATTATTTAGCGAAAACTGACAAGCTTCTGCACAGTCCGTTTCAAATTTCCCTATTCGTTCATACTGAACTATAGATATAAAATGTTTGGAAATTTTTCGCATACAGCGTGACAGAAAAGTGATCGTATGTCGCGGATGTACATATGTTTACAGTACCTTCTTTCGATATTGTAAAACAAACTACAACTGCACTATTGTATTGCATAATTTTATGGCACAAAACGTACATGATTTGCGAAACAGAATTATTTTAATGTTTTGATCCAATATGTTCAGTAGCCTACGAAAATCTTTGGACATCAAGAAACATTGGAATTAACTTAATTTGACCCACTTTTTCTTTAATAAACTTTTCTAATAAATAAAATGTTGGGTCCCAAGTCAATCCAATGAACATAATAAATAACTTAAAATGTCTATCAAGCCACTCCCTCAAGTCTCAATCTCCACATATCATGATTTAGACAATCTACAACATTTCAGATACTGGATTCCGCCAACGGATGTGTTGGTGGACATACAACGCAACACCTGCGCAATAATATTACCGGCAAAGAAAAGAGAGACTGGTTGAGAGCAGAGAGACTGGAATGGCCATTTCTGGCTTACTAGCCGTCGTCAGCCAGACATTCCCAGACCCAAGTGGCGTCCCACCCGAGTCTCGAACTCACGATCGCTTTGATCAGAGTCAAACGTCCTAACAACTAAGCAACGAGCTCGTTGGCCTGCCGATTTAAGTCGAGGGATATTGACACCCATTGATGAACGTTCACAACACTGCTAACGGAACTCAACTCTCCCACTCTGCCTGAAGTCTCGACAGAGGCCCTCACAGCCGTAGTAGCTGGTGGGCGTCAATATTCCTCGACCTAACCCGACAAGACAACGGGCTTGTGGCTTAATGACTAGGACGTTTGACTCTGATCAAAAAGGTCGCGAGTTGGGGGCTCGGGTGGGACGCCACTTTGGTCTGAGTATGACTGACTGACGACGGCTAATAAGCC